TTGAGACATATTTTGGTGTAAATAACTCGTGTTTGATTAATTCCCACCATTACAAGTTGTTAAATTCAGAGAATAAATGTATGGACAAATATTTGATACTTATTTAGGTGTAAAGAACTCGTGTTTGATCAACTTCCACCAATGCAAGTTGTTCAAATAATGAAATAAATCTACTGGTAGCATTGGATATTTGATTTAATTGTAAAGCTTTTCTAACAAAATGTTAACATCTGAATTTGAACCCTCAATCAACAATTCCACAGACACCGTATAAATACCACAACACCACACAAGATATTCGTCTGTTTCCTGAATTGTTTTCGTAATATAGGGAGCGTCATTATGACCCAGTTTCAATAACACCGCCATTTTGCAACGAAGTGCGTAACCCTTGGCGTGACCCCACTGACTATATGATCGTTCTGTTCAACTGTTAAGATAGGATTTATTACCGTTATTATCATTATATTGTCACGTGATTTGTTTTACCTTATGTGTCTTAAGTATCTTTATTGTAATTTGTATATACCAATTAGTATACATGTATACTGAGCAAACGACCCCGATTGAAGGTCATGTATTTTGTGACGTCACCAATTCGTGTGTGGATAAGGCTTCTGAAACTGTGCCAATAAATGTAATAAGATATGCTTGCATTACATTATCAAACTGTGTCGATTCTATAATTTGCATTATATTGAGCTACGATAAGTTACTGCATCCGAGCATATTGGTTTCGTCCCATATAGTCGTCCATGTATTTAATTCAATTCAGTAACAACCACGTGAATAGATCATCGGCCTCTGCCCTAGTCTACAATAGCCGAAAAGCCACAGACACGCGTGAAGTAGTGCTTGCTTTGTTATGAGTTATACACTTATTTCAGAAATGTAGATACCGTCTTACAGCGTGTAATTATTTCTGAACTGAACATATAACCGATAAAAGCGTGCACTACTTCACGGTAACTGTGACGCAAAGCCGAGGTCACGTCACAGAAGTCATATGTCTTATTACTCCGTCACAAAATGTTAATAAAGATATGACCACTTTATCGATTAAAAATATTGATAGCATACTTACGATTGAAAATCGAACGTTGGTGAGTGATGAAATTATTGATAATGACAGTGAAAATTGACCCACTTAAAATCACATCACATGGTTTCGTCAAAATGGAGTCACTGAAAACATCGCCCTCTACACACTAATATGATGATAACTTCGTTTTGGCTTGGCCATCATGACACTACGAGCATTACATGCAACTCCCTTCTTCTTCCGATAATATTTCTGAGAATAAGTTCTAATCTAAAGATATGAAATGAGGATCAAATATGCAATCCAGAGTTTCCAATTATGTTTTTTGTGTATTTTTCAAATTCTAAATACTCTCTTTTTTCTTTGCGTCTACAGTTCCTTCAGCCTGGGGTGGGTCGGTGGATCAATATGGGGGTACCCTGTTTTTTTATTTTGCGAATGGGAGGGCACCCTGTTTTTTGTATCGTGAATGGTGGTCGCCATATTTTCCAGAATTGACACATGCACTTATGAATATATTTTCAAAAAATTATTTTTAACAAAATATAAAAAGTTAATCGTACAAGTTCTGAATAATAACTATTACCTATATTGCCTATACATTTTTTGATAAAAAAATAAGTTATAGGCTAAATATTTTGGGGTTGAAGTTGCCAAATATATAACAAATTATGATATGCGGCTTGAGCCCCAATTATACTATTAAGTTTAACACATCCCAAGTCCATGTGCTGCTGATATTAGATTATTTTATTTGAAGTCTGAAGTCTGAAGGCACCATTGTGTTGGATATTTACTGGATTTATCAAATTATAACAGGAGACAGAAAGATAACAAAGCAATTAGTACAAAGAGCCGTGACAGTTTTTGTTTAGCAAATCAAAAAAAGTTGATTTTGTGAAATTGCTGATTTATAAATTAAAATAAATGATGAAAAAGTAAATAAAGTGTTTTATTTTTAACTTTTAAATATGCATCTTTTGCTCTGTAAAATACCAAAATTCAACACAAATTTAAGCAAAATCAATGTGTCCTTGTTTTCATTAGCAGAGACTGTGCTTCGGATGTAAAGCATTCCTGGTCTATAAGATATTTCAAATCCAAATTAGTTTTCAAATAGTTCAAACCGCCTAGATTCAAATCTTTTTTTCCTATTTTATAAGGACGTTTATCAAGTGAGTACTCCTGAGCTTTGCTTTTATTTACTATTGTTAGCAACATAGAATTCCCTCCTTCCTGTGGTCGTTTTTTTTACTTAATGCTTCCTCTCCTCCTAAGGTCTAATAAATGCAAACACTAAATATTATGTCAAAATTATGGCAAACCAGGATATTTGCACTGCACATATAATACATTAATGTTTCTTTGTTTTTTCGGGGGGGGGGGGTCAGCATGTTTTAAAATATAATGATGGGTCGGGTGACCCACTTTTTTTCTATTTGACAGGGGGTGGGTAAACTGAGATTTACAAAATGGAATCTGCCGACCATCCCCCCTCCCCAGGCCGAAGTAACTGACCCTTAGTAGTATTTGTTTGTCACTTCTATTTCCCCTGGGCACACAGTGCAGAGAACAGCCATTGGTGGCGCTGTATAGTTTCAAAGTCTTTAGTGGCTCGCAAAGGCACATATACAGCATAAGTTTAGTATGGTAGACAATGTGTACAGTCTTCAAATAACCACAATAGACAGGGTGAAGGTCAATTAATAATTCCACATTAAATTAATATTCAAGATATATGTGCACGCAGTGCAGGTACTTCTGGTTGTTCTCAGGTATTCCACAACGCATGCGTGACAGTGCCCTAGTATAGTTGGTGAAAGCGCTCGTTGATCTTGGAAGGGTAACCTAACATACCCACCCAGTGTTGTTGTCTATGAATCTACATCTACATACACTTACACTTAGTGAGAATATCCTTTGAATATCATGTTCAATTTTCTCACACCCAAAGTCTGGCATCACTATCATTTTGTTATAACTCCATTCACAATCATCTACCAATTTCCAGTTCTGGTTCCCAAAACTCTGGATAAGGTTTTCTAAATAATGTATACATGTATTTGATAGATATTATGATTGTTCATAAAGTTCAACAACATAGGGACATCAATGAAGTTATCACCATTCCCGTGAATAAGCAGTGGTTCAACAAAACGTTTACGTTGAATTTATTTATTGGCATGTGCTTTGTTCTATGTGTACATGGTTCAGATTATGTACATACTTCTTGGCGACACCATCCATTGGGTTCATAGGCAAAGAGAATTGGAACACCCACTCCAAAACAGGAAATGAATATATACTCTATGATCCGCTGTGACAGTTTCTTGTGTTTCACCCTTAGTTATACATTTTTATTAGTTCAACACCATTACACTTATATTCAGCATCTTGTGATTCCACGAGGTCGGAAACGACTTCAGCGACTTGTACTACAACAGTATAATGAAATAAATTCACACGACGTTTGGCTACATTGCTGTCAGTGAAAGGTATGTTTGCATAAACACAATAGGCTCTATTTAGTGCATTGTCGTGCATATCATGGAACGACCATGTATTCTTGAAACACATGTTTATATAAATATCACAACTAAACCCCTATAAGTAGGGATTATAGATAATGACTACCAATACGAGAGTCATGGTTCGAACGCTCAGAAATGAACGATATATTCATATTTCAATAATTGAGAAAGAACTGTTTTTAGCATCTAAAATACCAAACCCTTCAGTTCAGAAATGATTAATGTATTAATGCTTGAAATTGCAGTGGAAGTTGAACCCAGCAAGACAAAGTGTGTATTAGAGTGATTTTATTCCACTTGTTTTTTTACCCCCATAACACGAATGTCAAATTATGGTTGTGAATACGACTGAATATTATGAGATTATGCCATCCATATTCATATTACAACTGTTAACTGCATTCCCATTCTGAATGTCATTGCAGATACACTTGACGGTTTGTATACTAGCTGTATTTCTGAGACAGTTTTAAATCAGATTCGGACAAAAATGCGTGAGGCATTCTACACTTGATTAATACTTGATCACAAGCGTACAATTTATTATAGTAGTTACTTCAGATATACAAGTTTTCTTCTACTGAATGCAAAGTCATAACAAACACTGATTGCTTAACGTCTTCCAAGAAGTAGTCCAATGTTCCAAAGAAAATTGGTAGGGAGATCATAGTCTTAGCACATGGGCATATGTTTACAGCAAAACAGACAAATCTTCTAGCTTTTGCACAAAAATTACACAATTTTGAATCGTTTACATTGTATTCATAATATTATTAAAATGACATTTGTTTGATGGTTATGTCTACAATATTGATAATTAATGCAGGATTACACTCATTTTAATTCACATCTACCATTCTGAGAAATGAATAGGATAATTTGGAATTCCATGTCGGAGGTATATCCTGAAAAATTACGAACAATTGTTACATATATATTTTTTATAATGAGGTGTTATAATATATATTAACGTGTTTATTTTATTTTTTTGGAATTTGAATAATCCAGAGTAGCATCCTAGTTTACACTTCGTGCAAATTATTCACTGTTGCAAAAATCGATGTTTTCTTTCAACAATATATTGCCTATATGTTCACAAAATTGAAGTAATACCAAAAATGTTAATTATATATTCCAGTTGTCTGTTCAATGACATAAAAACAGACATACAAATACAGATATAGATAGAAAGAGAGACAGACATGCTAAAGACTATACATCAACATAGATCAGTATTTATCTAAACTAATATGCTTTAAAAAATACAGACAGCCATTTTCAGAAATTATTAGTAATTTGTTCACATTTCTCTCCACACACTATTTGTTAATTTGAAAAACTTAAACCTTGTAGCAGTATAGCCTTAATTCTTCTACTTTGTCTGAACCCAGCATGCAAAATGTAATGTGTTATTTCAATGAACTTATTCAGCACTCATCAATCTTGTGGCTGTACAATCTGAATTCTTCTATGTGTTTGTGAATTCTCTTCTCAACAATGAACCCAGTATGCATAATGAACAATCGTTTCTGTTCTCCCACATTTGAACACTCATCTTGGTTATTGAGTTTGGCAGTGAACTGATTTTCACTATTTATGGATTTCCACCTATATGTATATTTCTTCTCTGTATGAATAATTAATGAGTTTCTTTCATGAGATAATTGACTGTATATACACTCACACTGACGACAGTAAAACTGCTCTAGAGAATTATCTATCATGGTATAACTTCCATTATTTATGCAAGAACAGTTTTCAGGTTTATTTTGATGTCTTCTCCTGTTTAAGCTACTATGCAAAGTGAATAAATCTGAGTGTTCCTTTTGATAAGTCTTCTCATTGGTATGTGTTCGTATATGATATTTGAGATTACTTGATTGGGTAAAACTCTTTTTACATTGCTCACAATGATAAGGCTTCTCATTGGTATGTGTTCGTATATGATTTTTGAGATTACTTGATTGGGTAAAACTCGCTTTACATTGTTCACATTGATAAGGCTTCTCATTGGTATGTGTTCGTATATGATTTTTGAGATTACTTGATTGGGTAAAACTCGCTTTACATTGTTCACATTGATAAGGCTTCTCATTGGTATGTGTTCGTATATGATATTTGAGATTACTTGATGTGTTATAACTCTTTTCACAATGCTCACATTGATAAGGCCTCTCATTGGTATGTGTTCGTGTATGATATTTGAGATAACTTGATGTGGTATAACTCTTTTTACATTGTTCACAATGATAAGGCTTCTCATTGGTATGTGTTCGTAAATATTGTTTGAGGTTACCTGATTGGCTAAAACATTTCTTGCATTGCTCACAATGATAAGGCCTCTCATTGGTATGTGTTCGTATATGACATTTGAGATTACTTGATGTGGTAAAACCCTTTTCACATTGCTCACAATGATAAGGCCTCTCATTGGTATGTGTTCGTATATGATATTTGAGACCACTTGATGTGTTATAACTCTTTTCACATTGCTCACATTGATAAGGCCTTTCATTGGTATGTGTTCGTATATGATATTTGAGATTACTTGATGTGTTATAACTCTTTTCACATTGCTCACATTGATAAGGCCTCTCATTGGTATGTGTTCTTATATGATATTTGAGACGACTTGATGTCGTATAACTCTTTTCACATTGCTCACATCGATAAGGCTTCTCAGTGGTATGTGTTCGTATATGATATTTGAGATGACTTGATGTGGCAAAACACTTTTCACATTGTTCACAATGATAAGGCCTCTCATTGGTATGTGTTTGAATATGATATTTGAGATAACTTGATGTGGTAAAACTCTTTTCACATTGTTCACAATGATAAGGCTTCACATTGGTGTGTGTTCGTACATGTCGTTTGAGCTGACTTGAATAGGTGAAGGTTTTCTTACATTCCTCGCAATGAAAAGGCTTGTCATTGGTGTGTGTCTGCATACTCTGTTTGAAAATACTTGATTCAGTAACATTCTTCTTACTTTTTGCGCAAACCATCATCTTTCCCCTACTATTCAGCATATTACTACTTGGCAGTATACCACAGATAAACACTTCGTAAGTTTATATTCTGAGCCCACTGTCTTGGTAATACCGCAACTGTGAAAGAAACACACAAATACTTTTATTAAAGCAGTATGAAGACTTGGTAGAAGTGTTTGACCTTTGTATATTTTCTTACCTCATGCTTATGAAAATCAAACATTGGTATATTGTTTATGTTGTTTGAACTTTGCTACCTCAGAAATTTTGCATATGGTCAGTACACTACACTGACTCCTGCATGATAGCTATACTCTGGCTTTGTTTTAATAAAATGATTGTGGCTTTTGGTTGGATGAACTATGTAAGTTATATGCTTGAAAAATCTAACTGAAATAGATTAAACGGAATCACCTACGTTTTTGTTTTGAATATTTGAAGTAGCGTCAAAAAATGAAAAAATCTGGCAGAAGTCTACAGAAACTACGTGCATAACAAGAATCCAAGCTATTAGACAAGTGCTTTTCAATATACAGAATGTCTGAAACTACTGGTAATGATTGTCTGGTATAAGTGAGGGTGTACTAATACTAAAATATATTCATCAACAATATATTCAGAATACTTGTTTTTACTTTAATAATTGTTTACCATACAACCTGTGTGAGAAAAATTAATGATTTCATTGAAGGATACGTTTGTTTAAATAGTTAATAACTGAACTGAGTGGCCTAATCCAATTAATACACATACTGTAAAATACTTTATTTTCGCTTGGAATTAATTTTCGCTATTTTCGCTGAAGGGATGATTCCGTGAAAATAAAATCCAGCGAATATACTTTTTTTCCTATATTTCACATTAAACTCATCAAAAATCAGTGAAAATAAATTCCACACAAAATGCCCAAAAAGCATTTTCAGCGAAAATTAATTCCAGCAAAAATAAGGTATTCCACAGTATACAGAATGTCTGAAACTAATGAATGTCTGGTATAAGTGAGGGTGTACTAACACTAAAATATATTCATCAACAATATATTCAGAATTCTTGTTTTTACTTTATTAATTGTTTACTGTACAACCTGTGTGAGAAAAATTAATGACGTTTGTTTAAACAGTTAATCACTGAACTGAGTCTAATCCAATTAATACACATACATTAACATATACATGAATATAAGGAATTCAAAACACTAACAAAATGAATATATGGAAAATATGGCGCAGGTGATCATTTTCCCAACATTAGGAAATGATTCCACAGTAAATATTCCACAGTACATTAACGAACATAAATTAACACATACACGAACATATGGAAAATAATACACATATAGTGTACTGCTTATATGGCATAACATACAACATTAAGACTATCACTGATGTTGATGATGTTTGAAATGTTTGTAATGGAAATACCATAATCAATCCACTTGAAATGATTACGGTGCATGACAAGAAAGAAAAGGTTGTTTTGTGGCAAATATTCATTCATAGTTTCTAGGGTAACCACACCAATTTGGAGAGTTGAGGTTTTTGAGGCGTTGATGAATAAAAGGGCATAGTTCCAGAAGTCGTACCTACACTTTATGCAAATTTGTTTAAAATTATGCTAATTTGTTCATGACGTGACAGTTTCTGTGCTCATGAATATTCATTAATTTGTAGGTCAATACATGGAAATTGAAACCGGGTCCTACTGATCACAGTGTAGACAACTGACACACAAGACCACGATGGACTGACTGGTTGTCGTTGTATGAGTGTGTATATTTAGTGTGTATGTACACCTCCATGGTATAAATAAAGAAATACAACATGTTTCTATCATTGAGTCACAATTGTCAAAAATATTGCCAATTTGGTGTACTCGTTGTGTAAACTATATGCATGCCATAACCCGTTAGTGTACATCTTGCCAATTTGGTGTTTGCCATTTGCAATGCCCATACCTGGCCCAACCCGAACCCTAATGCCAATACACGTTAATAATTGTAGCTCAATAATGATACTCTCTTGTGCACTGTCTGCGGGTAAGTTGGAATGATGTTAAATGATTAAACAACTATCATTTAATTATTTTCCACCATTACAAGTTGTTAAATTGAGAGAATAAATGTATGGACACATATTTGATACGCTTTTTGGTGTAAACAACTCTCGTTTAATTAAATCCCAACATTATATGTTGTTAAATTAAATGTCTCAACAGTTATTTGCGACTTATTTTGATAAACAAGTCATTGAAAATGACACAGTCCCCGTTAAATTTTTGAAAGTTCTCTTTGTGATCGTCATATTAAAGCGGAGGGGTTGTCGTGAGCGTGTCCTTGAAACTTGAGTTCCAAGTGGCGTATACAACAGATTGTTTATTTACATCAAAACATGTGTTCCGTGTAGTAGTAATATGGCCAAAAATAAAAACAGCCGTTATTCGTCCATCTTTGATCTGATTATGAAACACACTGATACGTATGATGTATGTGCCAAATACGAATGAAAATGGTACATAAATTGTGGAAATATAGTAGTAAGGCCAAAAAGTCAGATTGCTGTCAATCGGCCATCCTTGACCAGATTTTGAAACAAATTGTCATGGACATGCATCCTAACATGTATAAAGTACATGTATGTGCCAAATTTGTATGAAAACTGACAGAGCACGACCAAGACACTGCATAAAAAAACAAGATGCCTGTCAGTCGACAATCTTTGATCCAATTGCAAAATAAATCGTCATGGACATGTATCCTAACATGTATAATCTATGTACCAAGTTTGAATGACAACTGACAAAGCATGTCCAAAATACAACATTTTCAAAAAACAAGATGGCTGCCAGTCGGCCATTTTGAATCAAATCGATAACAACTGCATGTGCATATGTGCCACATCAAGTACTAGGCACATGCAAAGAATGAACGGAATCGGTCAAAGGGATTCTGTAATATGACTCTGGACAGACTGACACATGAACGGACGGACACACGGATGGACAGACGGACTGACAGACTCAGGAATGGTCAGGGACATGTATCCTAACATGTATGATCTATATACTAAATTTGAATGGAAACTGACAAAGCATGTCCAAAATACAACATTTTCAAAAAACAAGATGGCTGCCAGTCAGCCATCTTTGATCCAATTGTGAAATAAATCGTCATGGACATGTATCCTAACATGTATAATCTATGTACCAAGTTTGAATGAAAACTGACAAAGCATGTCCAAAATACAACATTTTCAAAGAACAAGATGGCTGCCAGTCGGCCATTTTGAATCGAATCGCTAAACCACTGCATGTGCATATGCCCCACATAAAGTACTAGGCACATGCAAAGAATGAACGGAATCAGTTCAAAGGATTCTGAGATATGACTCCGGACGGACACACGGACGGACACACGGACGGACAGACGTACAGACGGACGGAGACCAAATTATAAGTCCTCGTTTTCGGACTTCGTCCAAACGGGGACTAATAAACAACTGGTGTTTGATTAATTCCCACTATTACAAGTTGTTAAATTGAGAGAATAAATGTATGGACAAATATTTAATACTTATTTAGGTGTAAAGAACTCATGTTTGATCAATTTCCACAATTGCAAGTTGTTAAAATAATGAAATAAATATACTGGTATGATTGGATATATATCTTGCTGGTATTCTTTGCAAGAAATGTCATGTTAGTCTGAACGGATATGGTAAGAAATCTTACCAGTGAATTGCAGCACCGAACAGTCGGTCGTGCCTGACGACACTCCATACTTCCTGTCCCGGCGTACGCAATTTATTCATGCCTATTATGCTTATACACAATATTTAATAATAACAGATTAATATTAGGTACGACCGACTGTCGACAGTCTAGTCTGTTGACTGAATTGTTTTTGTAATATAGGGAACGTCATCGTGACCCAGTTCCAACCACACAGCCATTTTGCAAGGAAGTGCATGACCCTTGGCGTGACCCCACTGACTACACTGTAACCTCAATATAATGAATACAGTTATAATGAATTTTCTGATATAATGAACACATACTGTGTCTCCCGCTCACAACAAACCCAATGTATTATGTGCTTCATTATAGTGAATATTTCACTATAATAAACTAATTGTATGTCTCCCAAAGAGTTCGTTATAACGAGACTGAAGTGTATATGATCATTCTGTTTAACTGTTAAGATAGGATTTATTTCCGTTATTATCATTATATTCATTCACGTGATTTGTTTCACCTTACGTGTAATGTCTTAAGTATCTTTATTGTAATTTGTATATACCAATTAGTATACATGTATACTGAGCAAACGACCCTGATTCAAGGTCATGTATTTTGTGACGTCACCAATTCGTGTGTAGGTACGGCTTCTAGTCTCATGCCACTAATTTAAATGCCTTGCAAGAACCAATGAAATTTTTTAAATAATTTTTTTCTCAGGTGCTCCCTGTTTGAGGGCGTAATCACCTGGGTCAAAGGTGAGACCAACATGTGGTCTTTTGTTTACTACTTTGCGGCTGTGTACCTGTGGGTTTATTCTGTGTGTATTTGGATGTTCTAATATTGGTGTTTTCCAGTGATTTCTCTTGGTGCAATCCAAATACAGTAGGTGTGTCTTGTTTACCTGAGATTTGCAAGAGTGGGAATTCAATTAGTGGTATGAGCCCTGAAGTGACAGTTTGCTTAGGACCACCTGAAGTTGTTGTTTTGACCATAATTATGGCTCTATTCACTGGAATTTAGTCATTTTTGGCAGATCTCATCTTACATAACCAAAGTTTAGTTTGACCTAATTATCATAAGTTTTGACCTCTCCTGACCTTGCATAGATCTGATAATTATGAGGTTGTGTGTTCAAGCACATATTTCATGAGATCAGCTCCATTTATTTGGCAGGTGTAGTGCAAAGTAACTGGGAATCTTTTTTATTTTTATTTTACCACTTTTCTTGCTTTGTATTCAACTATTTAGGCACAATGGAGTAATTTTTTTTATCCAGAAATGTC